GGCTTATGTTGAACATATAAAACGGGAGAACTCACCTGTATAACCCCCTTCAAGCACACCTTTCAATGCCTCGCTCCTCCCTTCTAGCCTTCCACCCCGGTCAGCCAATCGTATCGTAATAATACCATGAAACGGTAATCAGTGCGGAACTGCCGCAGTGATGCAAGGGTTGTCACAGCCTAATTCAAGATCCATAGTTGACGCGCGGGCAATACAACATCCCTAGATTACAAACAGAAATGAGAGGGCACTGGTAGTACTGGTACTAGTACGACCACAGGAAGTTGGCAAGCCATCATAAATGAAGTTGACGCCACAAAGTAATCTCCGGGCGTTTACCATTTATGTAATCCCATGTGCTGCTTTCCTCATTCCGCCCAAATCCTCGGTAGTTGTGCACCCCAAGTACTTCGGGGTCATATGCCTTGGGTTCCTAATGATGTTTGGCTGATTTGTTCTTCGTATTCAGATTTCGGCTTACAAAATATGGAATCGGTGGCTCACTTTGAGCAATGCCAAGAACACCCCAAAGACCGCACTACATAGCATGTTGCCAAAATCGCGAACAGTTCTCTGATTGAGTCACTGCTTTGCGATTTCATGAAGAACTTCTACCTTGATCCCATCGGTATCCTTGGATGCACATTGTCTTTCTACTGAAATTCATGCCGAATCGATCAGTCAGATATCGTCCCTCACTTTGGCGATGTAAGCGTTGGATTGTTGTATATCAAGCACAAATGCAGTCATTATACGTCCACCAAGTTTCCCCGCTCACTCATACCCACCCTCTAATAGGATGACCATAGTCTCAAATGATCCCAGTTGGTGGCCATTCATCAATGCCAGTCTTGTTAGCAGCTATTTTGTAGGTTCGTGGAGAGTCGGCTATATGACGACGGCGATGATTCGATTAACCTTGGCTGCGGTTTTGCAGTTGCTTCCTCTGTCTGGGTAATGTACGATTGGGGTGAGCAAGACTAAGTATAAAAGAACCACTGATATCCTTATGGTATTCTCAGTGCTTACGTTCGGACGAGAGGTGCGTCGATCCATTACTGGGGCAATCAGCTCGCTTAGAATTGTGCTATAGGTTGAACTGATCTGGGTGAGCGGACTCTCGCATTAAAAAAACGACGTCAAATTACAACTTGTTCGCGGCAGAAGCAACGCTGGTCTCTGGTCACCTTTCTCTATCTCAGTGTATGTATCTCGTGTTTCGATATCCACGCTTAGCAAGTCCAAGTTTCGTTGACTAGTATCCTAGATGCGCTATGCTGGGATAGGATATGCTGTGTACGTTTGGACGTTTAAGCCATTGATGTTGCGCTCATTACCCATCTCTCACAATCAGAATGATCATGTTACGTATGTCTCCTCGCATAGACTGTTTCTTTCTTGTGACGAGCGGCATACAGGCGGTCTTCCAACAATTTCGATGACAGATGCAGTGAGTGTTCTGCACCGATGCTTTCCATTCCCGTCCAAACAACTGAACTACCATGTAGGGGTGAGTGAGATTCTCGAATAATTCGTTGATTCAACATAACGACCCCCACAGTTGTGAGTTTTTTTCGAGCCTATGATCCTCCAAAGCCAATAACTAATGTTGCTCAATTTATCAGGCCTTATCATCTACGACGTAACTAATTGGACAGGTATCGTTGTAGATGTAATACTGAGCGGTGAGCTATGCACCTCGGTGATATTGACTTGACTGAAACATCATGCAAGTCATCATGATCATTCGGTTACATGCCATGTATCAGCGATCCAGAAAGGTGCTGATATTTCTCGTTGTCATCTCTCTGGCCTTCAGAATCGCCAGTGTGGTGATGATTGCAATTTCGATGCAGGCTTCAGGGGGTGAGCCTTCAATTGTGTACGAAACGTTTAAGTGCACCAGGCTTATTGACAAATACCAGAGGAACTCATTTTCTCCGGCACCTATCAGTGCTTGATTGGCTTCGCGGTGGAGGATGCCATGTTTCTATTTTCCATGACATGGATACTTGGTGCTATATGGGAGGTCCTTGTACTGTGTCTCGCGGTCTGGATTGCTGTAAAGCACTTCCGTGAACTGCGACAGCACTCAGCAGGTGGAATTATTGAGGACTGTTTTACGGTATTGATGAAAACTCACATGAGTTACTTCGCGAGGTGAGCTCACAATGTGAATGTGGTTCTCTTTTTCTGTTCACATTCTGCACGTGCTAGCTTTTTTGCTATTACTTGCTTCCATATCGGTTTATTCTCTCCGACGCTCTTAGCGGTATGCCCATCTGTCACCGACCTTTACATGCGACCACGATTCATCATTTCTACAGGATCTATATTCCCTGGATGCTCAGATTTATCTTGGTCTCACTCAGATATTCCAGGTCGTGCAGATGTTTCTGCTGGGACCACGCCTGATCTCAGTGTTCGAGAATATAACGCTGAGCTGGTGGCCAACTCTGATACAGCAACCGCTATGACTTCAATAGCTTTTCAGGAGCGCGTCCATGTGTCAACTAGCAGTAGTGTGTAGCGCAGGACACGCTCGAGATAATTGATTTGCGATGGGCAGGTAGTGTGCAGGAGCGGGAGAATTTGTTTTTATTTATTCTAGATGGCCGACTCCCGCACTATCGCTGGTGCTGGCATCTGCATGTCCGTTCCTTGGTGCGTCGGTGTTGCCGTTTTGGAACCACACCGACAACCCGTTTTATTTTTGGTGTACGATACTCAGACGTCTGGATTCCTTCATGTATCCCTCAATAGCGCTTCAGTAACAATCCTAAACACATTCATATTCATATCCGTATTTACGCCTCGTCAAACAAAAGTGATAGGCAAGCTCCTCCATGAGCATTGACCAACCTCAACCTCATCAAAACTCATTAAGTATGCCTCGCATCATCAAGTTGTGCATGCACAAACGTGCCTTGCACACCTTGTAATCATCTTGAGTGAATCTTCTATAAGCCATTCGGCGTGGTCAGGTGAGAGGACAAGGGTGGGACGTTGAACATATGATCGGAGGCAAGCAGATGGATCGATGGTGCATTGCTAAGGAACTGCAGCAGTGTTGCACGACTTGGCTCTTACTCGCCCATTTGCCCAAGCAATCGTAGGGATATCCAGTTCCATATTGATTTAAACATTGTCAGGACCTATAGCTACTCACTAAGATCGATACTACGACGAAAAACATCACCCAGACCTACATCTCCTCTACAAGGGTCCACGTCGCAAAACCACGTAACTTAAATCAATACCAAGACGAAAGTGGGAAGGAATTCTCCTGCTGCAGAGCACTGGACAACCTCCACCGAGCATCTCCCGTGATATACACCATCGCCAGTCAATATATGCATACGCTCCTGGAACGCCATTGAGATCATGTCGGTTGGTACGTCGGAATCTGCCACGAGCTTAGCGTGATGTTCTCGAACCCCAAGGATCAGGCATGGTCCCAACGAAAATGACTGCACGACCCCAAAAATCTGGAGAAACCCAAAATAGATCTGAGGTCCCGGGGAAAATATGTCCTATAGAAATGATGGACCAGGGTCGTATGCACGGGTCAGTCAAGGATTGACATACAGTTAAGATTGTTGAAGACAAACTAAGAACAAGGCGGAAGCAAGAAACAGCAACAACGCTGGCATGTCCCATCCTTCAGCAGAAACGGGAACCATGTTCACAACATGAGCTCACCTCGCAAAGTACAGCACATGAGTTTCTCTTTTTTTTTTTTTGATCCTTGCTTATTGTCCTTTGGGGCAGGGCCCTATGGTGGACACTACGTACGGTTTATGAGTCCTCATCAACATCGTAAAGCAGTCCCGATAATCCCTCCTGCTGAATGTTGCCGCAATTCACGGAAGTGTTTGACAGCAATCCAGATTGCGAGACATAATGTGAGGACCTCCCACACGGTACTGAGTATCCAAGCAATGGAATCCAGAAGTACTGCATCTTCCACATAGCTAATCGAGGACTGATAGGTGCCGGAGAGAATGAGTGCCTCTAGTATTCATCAATGAGCCCAATCTACGTTTTTTGTCATCCACAATTAAGCATACCATCTGAAGAATGTATCGTTGACATTGTCGTGATCACCACGGCGAAAATGGCGTCAGCCAGGAAGGTAACAGTTAGATTGAGTCATCAGCTTCAACACCTGACTGCTCTCCACGAACCTATGAAATAGCTGGAAACACGGTATGAATAATGGCCGGCCACCAAATGGGATCATTTGAGACTATGGTCATATTGGTAGAGGATGGGGTGCGGTTGAGAGGTGAATATTTTTGGTAGACGTATGGCGATGGCATATAAAGTACCATCCAGTGCTTGCCGGTGAATCACCAAAATGAGACCGAGAGATGTAAGCAGTTGCCTGGGATGAATAGGGCCTTGAACACCGCAGCCGCAGTGCACTAGTACTTTCTTACTCCCTGCCTTGGTCTTCTGTATCGTAAGGATCCCAAAAATGGTGAGTGCAGGACCTTGAATTTGTAACGTGTGGGGACAAGCATCATGCATCATCGCCAGCTTGCACAGGTGGAGACACCCTAGTTGAGAATCCGTGATTGATGTCTGGTGAAGATGGAACGCAATTCCCCATATCATGATCGGTAAACTGATGAACACAATAAAATATCATATATGTCCGTCTACTTGGCCTGTGTAGTTATTCAACTCGGAATTGATCCATCGCTGAAGGAACAAGTGACTGAGAGATGTGAGGATGAGGTCCCAATTCGAGTGTCGTGCGAAGACGGAGTCGGGGACTCGGCACCGGTAGCACTGATGATTGCTTTATTTATCCGGTGCGCCATAGGTTAATCGAAATCCGCATATTTTAACACTCACCTCATTCTCTCTCCGTCGGAAGCAAGTCAGTTGTCGGGATATGATTGGTTCAGATGGTAAGGTGACTAAGTTACGCACCATGGCTCGATAACATATTCCAGGAGGATAAAATGCGCGCTGAAAAACAAGTTACACCTAGCACCAGTCGCGTTCGTGAGACCTGCCAGTGCACCTTTGACAGCTCGAGAGCATTGACATTGCTTTGCATCTTGTCAAACTTCGTTCTTTCATGTCGTTCAATTCTTCCGCCCTAGCTGCGGGCTACGTTGCAGCTTTTGTTGATGCTACGCGGCAGTATGTCACCGCCTCTCCTGGTAGAGCAGTTCTGCTCGGACTCTTCTATACACCGGTTCTTATCTTCGTGCTGAATATCCTTAAGCAGCTGGTGAGTATCCGGCAACCCCTGTTCACGTATCTACTGATGCGATGATGTCACCAGGTTATTCTCCGAGATGCTTCTCTACCTCCGGAAGTGTTTCACTGGATCCCTTTCGTCGGGTCCTCCATCGCATACGGCAACGACCCACTCGATTTTTTCTTCAAGTGCAGGGAAAAAGTACGGTCGTGTGACATGCATCTCTCATGTCATGATCTTGTCTCATACTCTTCTTTAGTATGGCGATGTCTTCACATTCACTCTACTTGGACGCAGGGTTACGGTCGCACTCGGTGCCAAAGGTAACAACTTTGTCTTAGGAGGTAAATCGACTGCGTTCTCCGCCAAAGAAGCTTACACGGTATGTGCAATTGTAATTGTTTTGGTCTCGCAAATGTCTTTCTCAACAACAAATAGCACCTCACGACCCCTGTCTTCGGTAAAGACGTCGTATTCGATGTCCCCAACGAAATATTCATGGAGCAAAAGAAGTTCGTTAAAGTCGGCCTCTCAACTGACAACTTCCGGGCGTACGCGAGCATGTTCGAGCAAGAAGTCGATGACTTCATGCGCAGCGATCAAGCATTCACCATCTGGCAAATGAACGACATCAATGAATGGGGACGCTTCGATGTGACGGACATCATGGCCCAAATCACTATTTTGACTGCTAGCCGGACTCTGCAAGGCAAGGAGGTTAGAAGCGGTTTGGACAAATCATTCTCTACGCTCTACAATGACCTGGATGGAGGGTTCACCCCGCTGAATTTCATGTTTCCCAACTTGCCTTTGGAATCTTACCGCCGTCGGGACGAAGCGCACAAGAAGATGAGTGAATATTATACCGACATTATCCGCAAACGCCGAGAATCAGGTCACTCTGTAAGGTGGTTTGCATTGATGAGATCCGGCAAATATTCACGATGCATCCTATAGGACGAACCTGATATGATCTCCTCCCTAATGGATCAAAAATATCGTGATGGTAGACCTCTGCGTGACCACGAAATCGCGCACATCATGATTGCCCTTCTCATGGCAGGACAGCACAGTAGCGCTGCCTCCGGTTCATGGACACTTCTTCACCTTGCTCACAATGTCGAAGTCCAGTGAGTGTCGTTCGTTATCGGCAGTTAACATATACTGATCGTCATCATAGGGAAGCACTTTACCAGGAGCAAGTCAACCATTTTGGCAACCCAGATGGTTCTTTCCGCCCAATGACCTATGATGGCTTCCGCAAGCTTCCAGTTCTTGATTCCATCATTCGCGAGACGCTCCGCATGCACCCGCCTATTCACAGCATCATGCGTTACGTCCGTTCTGATGTCCCGATCCCCGCGACTCTCGCTGCCCCCTCCCAAGATAGTATTTATGTCGTCCCGAAAGGCTACTACGTGCTCGCTTCTGCTGCCGTCAGCCAGGTTGACCCCCGTATCTGGGCTAACCCTATGAAGTGGGACCCGACGCGGTGGAGTGATCCCGAGGGTGTTGCTGCTCAGGCGTTCAAGACTTACTCCGGCGAGAATGGCGAGAAGGTTGATTATGGTTTTGGCGCTATAAGCAAGGGAACTGAGAGCCCGTACCAACCGTTCGGTGCTGGGCGACACAGATGCATTGGCGAGCAGGTGCGCTTGATTATTTGCTTGCTGAGGCGGATTTGGCTGATTTCTTTAATAGTTCGCGTACCTGCAACTTGGAGTCGTGATTTCCAACATCATCCGTAAAGTCGAGGTTCGGTTAGAGGATGGCATCACGGAGATTCCAGCACACAACTACCATGTTTGTCTCTTCAGTTCATCACCATTCACAAGTATTGTTGACCGTCCTTCCACAGAGCATGATCACGATGCCAAAGAAACCTCGGAATATCTGCTACAGACGCAGGAGATTTGATTAGAGGATGTGCCCCGCTTCCTCTAGATACCTATACCATACGTCTTCCGTATTTACTCTTGGATGCTCGGTGACTTGCATAAAATATACCACTTCTACAGAAACGCTGAGTAGATTGATGGAGAACCCCAAGTGGGGACTCACACTCAGTACCCTGCTACTAGCAGCTAAGGAACCTCGCAACGATTGTTGCAGACGCAGGATGTATCTATTGCGCTCGAAGATCCGTGGTGTACATAGAACTATGGACGCTAATCAGGCGAGAATGAACAGGTCCCACGTGTGTTCGATATGCAGCTTGCTGATTGTCCGACCCAGCAATCGATTGTATAAGGGACTGGTGCCCGCCGAAACACGACTAACAAATGCATATTGGGAATAAGACATGCCCAGGCGTCAAATGTCTCATGTATGGTGGGGGTGTTGTATTAACAGAATGGGCATCGTCTGTGTACCCATGCGGTCGTGAATGTGTTCTGGATGGTTCATGGGGGGCAGAAAGGCGTGATGGACCTGGGTTGCCGGGCTCCCACGGCGTGTACTCGAGGAACGTCCGATTGCTACCTAAGCTCTCTCCAATCTGCAAAGATGTGTGTAAACTTGATATGGACTCCTCTGATGAAGCCCGTCTGTTTCTGTGGCACTCGGAAATCGTATTGATGCCCAACGGCAGTCTTACTGTACTCCTTTGCAAAGGCCGTGAATGGGGCCCTGTAAAAAAAAGCGTCTGAGAGAGGGGGAGGGCTCTCCCGCAAGCCCCATTTGACCAGAGACTCAAGTAAATTGTTACATCCTCTCATGCGATATCCCGTTGAGATCGCGGAAGCGCCCCGCAGAGAAAACGAGTGAGCTTCAGTCTTCAGATGACCTGCGGCAGAGCGCCGTAGTAAAAAAGACAACACAAAGAATAAACAGGCAGAGTGACATGCAAGTCTTGAAAGACATCTCTTCAGTATGCAGAGAAGCAAGTTGGATAAATTGACCTTTTATCATAGCGAGCTGCTTTGTCTGGCCATGGCAGGTAGCAAAGAAGGAAGATATGCCGGCGTCGAACTGTTCAATGACCATTGACGGAAGCTCCAATTCGCCACTGCACTTTCCACATTTGAAATCCTAAATCGAGGCCCTAACATCGATGTCATATTGTCAAGCCATGGCCGCATCCACAGGATCAATCAAAGTCCTGCTACGTGCGACGTCCTGGAGGCAGTCTGTGCCAGCTACATCAACAGATTGACCCCTCCCTTGTTTCAAAGTCGCCATCACATCCATAACCTGACATCAAACAGCAGACGCTCAACTCCCATGCTATCACTGGTGGTGCTTGCATATCCGTTCCTGGGTGCGTTTGCGTCACCAATATGAACAGCAAGTCCTGCTCGCTATCTTCTGACAATTGCAAACTGCCACTAGTGTCAGATCCACAGGAACGAGAACAATGTGGTGAGTTATTTGTACTACTGATGAAACATACGCTAAATCTGTCGCCATGGATCTTACTAGGATGCTGTTCAAGGACGGGACTCCAAAGTGGGGTTCACCACTGAACTAGCGAGGATTTGGGCAGAACAAGGAAAGCAGCGCTCTCAGCTCTGTCTTAATCTAGGGATTGTGTTGTATCTTCACCAGATATCAATTGCAGATTCTCAACTAGGGTGTCTCCACCTGTGTAAACTGATGCCTGTCACCACTGCACCAAAACCATGGAAGGTTCTGCACCCACTGTTTTTAGCACCTTTATGATACAGAAGACTGGAGCAGGGAGCAAGAATGTGTGCTGTGGTGTTCGAGCATTCAGCCCAGGCAAGTGCTTCACGACCAACATCTCTTGGTCTCATTTGGTGGTTCAAGCACTGGATGGTGGTATATATGCCATCACCATATGTCTATCAACTTCACCTCTCAACCGTGCCCCCATTCTCTACCAATATGACCATAGTCTCAAATGATCCCATTTGGTGGCCGACGATCAATTCATACTGTGTTTCCAGTTATTTTATAGGTTCATGGAGAGCAGCCAAATGTTGAAGCTGATGACCTAGTCTGACCTTGACTGTGGTTCCCAGTTGCTGCCTTTGTTGGAGTAATGTATGATTGGGGCGAGCATGATAATATTAAAGGATTGTTGATATCTTACAAGTATGTTCAGTGCTTACATTTGGACAAGAGGTATGTTGATGCTGTGACTGGAGTAGTCAATTTGCTAAGAATGGTTTTATAGGTCAAGCTGATCTGGGTGAGTTGAGTCTCACGTCAGAGGAACACATGAAAACACACTTAATTCCAGAGACAATGCTGGTCCCTAATGATGGTAATGTATCTCGGTGTACGTAGCTTGTTTGTCATGGTTGTCATATTGTGCTAACTTGAAAGTATCCTAGGTGTGCTATCTTGGAATAATATATGCTGTGTATGTTTGGAAGGCTCACTACTGATCATCTACTAATGGATTATGTCTTTTAATCAGCTTGAATGCAGTGTGTATGTCTTTTCACATTCAATGTCTCTGTTTCTTCTGACCCGCAGCATACAGCCAGTCTTCTTACCATCTCGCTGACAGATACAGTGAGTCTTCTGCGCAGATCCCTGCTTCCCTCCAACTAACCGTGGTGCCCTGTAGGAGTGGGTGTGATTCTCTACTGACTTCTTGGTTCACTGATGACTGTCACATTATACTGCCACAGATGTGAGTCTGTTCGGAGTGTGTGTTACCCCAGGCCGAGGCTGGTCACTGACTGGATTCGTCAGGCTGGATCATTTACACCATATGTAATTGGACGGGTGTTTTGGTATCTGCAATGCTGTGGGGTGAGTTGGATACTTGTGCGAATTTATTGGTATTGGCTTTACTGAAACATGCTGCAAGTTATCATCATCACTCGGTTGCATGCCATGTATCAACGATCCAGAAAGATCCTGGTATTTCTCATTGTTACCTACCTGGCTGACAACATTTTCAATGGAGTAACTGCCATAATAACAACGATGTGTACTTCAGGGGGTACGCCTAATTGTGGATGACAAAAAACGTACATGGGGCTCATTGATGAATGCCAGAGGAACTCATTCTCTCCAGCACCTATCAGTGCACGATTAACTATGTGGAATATATGGTACTTCTGGGTTCCATTACTTGGATACTCGGCACCACGTGGGAGGTCCTTGCACTATGTCTCGCAATCTGGATTGCTGTCCAACACTTCCGTGAATTGCGACAACATTCGGCAGGAGGGATTATCGGGGACTGCTTCACGTTGTTGATAAGAACTCATGTGCTTTACTTTGTGAGGTGAACTCATGCTGTGAACATGGTTCCCATTTCTGCTAAAGGATTGGACATACCAGCTTTGTTGCTGTTTCTTGCTTCCGTCTCATTCTTAGTTCATCTCCAACACTCTCAGCTGTATGTCAATCTTTAACTGACCCCTGCATATGACCCTGGTTCATCATTTTTATAGGACCCATTTTCCCTGGAACCTCAGATTTATTTTGGGTTGCTCCAGATTTTTGGAGTTGTGCAGTCATTTGTGCTGGGACCACGTCTGATCCTTGGGGTTCGAGAATATCACGCTAAGCTTGTAGCAGATTCTGACGCAGCAACTGGCATGATCTTGATCGCTTTCCAGGAGTGTGTGCATATATCGACTGGCAATGGTGTATAGCACGGGAGATTCTTGGTGGAGGTTGTGTAGTGCTCTGCAGCAGGAGAATTCATTTTTATTTATTCTTGCTTCCGCCTTATTATTGATTTAAGCTGTGTAGTTTTGCAAGTGGATCCTTGTAAAGGAGATATAGGTCTGGGCAATGTTTTCATCGTAGTATTTATCTAAGTGAGTAGCTATACGTCCTGACAATATTCAAATCAATATGGAACTAGATATCCCCACTGCTCACACTTGCACCAACCAATGGTCCTTTTTTATGTGGGATGACAATCACCTCTATGATTGCTTAGGCAAATGGGCACGCAAGAGCTAAGTCGTGCAACACTGCTGCAGTTCCTGAGGGATGCGTCCTCAATTGATCTTCTCGCCTCGTTCAACGTCTCACCCTTGTCTGTTCACCTGACTCACGCCAAGCGGCTTACAGAAGATTCACTCAAGATGATTACAAGGTGTACGAGGCGCGTTCGTGTATGTACAACTTGATGATGTGAGGTAGACTTGATGAGTTTTGACGAGGTTGAGGTTGGTTATTGCTCCTGGAGGAGCTTGCCTGTCATTAAGTATGCCTCGCATCATCAAGTTGCATGTGCACGAACGTGCCTTGCACACCTTGTAATTATCCTGAGTGGATCTTCTGTAAGCAGTTGGTGAGTCGGGTGAGAAGACAAGGGTGGGACGTTGGACAACGCGAGGAGATGAATCGAGGACGGATTGGTGGGGCACTGCAGCTGTGTAGCGACTTGACTCTTGCACGCCTGTTTGCCCATCACAGAGAAAAGGACCATTGGATCACACATTATCAGCACATATAGCAAATCACTTGAACTAAATACTACGACGAAAACATTGCTTAATCCTATGTCTCCTTGAAATCTACTTCAAGACACCAAATAATATAGATCAATACTATCACGAAAGTGGGAATAAATAAAAGGAAATTCCCCAGCTCCTTGCACATCCAGAGCACTAGACAACCATTAACTTCACTGAGCATTATACACCACTGCCAGTCAATATGTACACGCGCTCTTGGAAAGCGATTGAGGTCATGCTGGTTGCTGCATCAGAGTCGGCCACGAGCTTAGCGTGATATTCTCGAATGTCGAGGATTAGGCGGGGTCCTAGCACAAACGACTGCACGACATCAAAAACCTGAAGAAGCCCAGCATAAATCTGAGTTTCCAGGGAAGACTGATCCCATAAAAATGATGCATTGTGATCCCATGCAGAGGTCAGTGAAAGATTGACATACCATTGAGAGTGTTGGAGAGAAAGTAAGGATGAGGCTCAAGCAAGAAAGACAAACAAAGCTGGTATATCCGATCTTTCAGCGGAAATG